ATATATTCAAAGGAGTTTTTATCGGATGAAGGGATGCACGCTACACAATAACCTGAAAAACACGCGCCTACACTCGATCTGATTGGTCCGAATAGTGAAACCAAGTCAAAATGTCGTACCTTCAACATTGTCGACTCGACACTTGCGTAAAGGTCCTTGGGGATCTGGCTTCCGGTCGCCTGCCCGTTGGCTGGCTTTTACATCAATGTCCAACAATCTCTCCGCCAGAGTGGTATCTACCAAGGTGATATACAGTCCAGTATTTTTTGCTGTCTTCGACACAGTCTCGGTGCATCGTACACCTAGTATGAATCAACCCTGGCGGACTATATCCAGGACTTGGAGGAAATGGCTGGATTGGTTGATGAGGAGTACATATCCTCACTAAAGAGCGGGGAGTTGTCCGCCGGTGATCTGGAGCTGTTCGCTGCATCGCGAATGCACTGTTGTAAAATTGAAGTGATAGCGCTCAACTACGACTGTAGAGTCATCTTAACCACCTCGCCGTTCTTCTAGTTCTTAGCGACACTCTGTATTTGAACGCCTACGCTGGATACATGAATAAAACGCCCATGGGACTCTCTATTTTAATTGAGCGCTTAGGGTAGTTTACATGTACTTAACCCCAACAAGAAAAAAATAAGGACAAATATGAGGACCAAAAGTTAATGGCCTTGCTTGGCCTCAGTTTTAATAGATGCTCATATGAGCATATATTGAATTGAATTCCTGTATTAGCTTTTTACAACCGTACTAGCAACTCGTCGCTAAACCTACGCGTTATTGCATGAGCTGCTGTGCCGTACTGTGTCTGGAATGACTTCCCGGAGAGTGTTTTGTCCTTATGTTAAGGACAAAAATCGTCAAATGAAATAGTTTAATCAAGTATAATTTTAATTGCATACAAAGTGACGTCGGGTGTCTCAACTGTCATATCAGACAGAGGCAATTGCGCTTGGCGCGCTCGATTTTTGTCCTTATAATCGAGGTCTTAAGGACAAAATCACTCGATATTTTAAGATCTTGCATCTTATTTCGTCCTCATTTTAAGGACAGATTTTGCTGTACTATGTATCATAATGATTATGACCAGTGTGAGTGGAAGGTATATATTTAATAATACCGGTACATTAATTAAAAGGAGCTGTCATACCAGTACAGTTCAAAGACACGACCTGCAAGCAGAGAATCGCCCGACTGAGCAATAATCGTTCTTTACAGCTAGTATAATTGAGATTGAGACTTAGCTTGACTGTCATACAGCTTGATAATGGAGAATTCGTCAAAAACTGTGCCAGTAGCACTCTCAACCATCGTCAGTGTGAGGTTCGTCGGAGTCACAGTTAACTTCGTAATGCTATAGTGCGTGTTATCCATGAGCACAAGCCAATCGGGAGACGGCGGATTCTCGAACTTAAACAAACCTTCTGGGCCACCAGCGGATCCCGCAATTACATACACGGGGGCCCGAGGGTTTTCATACGTGTTGGTATCATTCGAGACACCATCCATGACAGCGCTACTGTTCGCTGTCGGGTAATGCCTCTCGTACAGATGAACGTGGCCTTGTAGCACTAGGTCCACCTTGTACTTTATAAAGAGGTCTTCAAAAGCTGCCTGCACATTCAACGCCTCATATTCGTTGTTGGGCACGCCTTCCGCGCCACAGGAGCGGATTGTATACATCGGTCGATGCATCCCCACGATAAGCCACGGTACATTGTCACGATTGCGATGTGCAGCCTTCAGATCTGCTTCCAGCCAAGCCAACTGGTCACCAAAGCCGCCATAGACTCGATTCGTGTGGTACGCATTGCTTGGTGCGTTCGGGTAGTCTGTCTCGGACGAAATCGATGTGAAGTGAGCACTTCCGTACTCAAAAGAATACCACATATTCAGTACACCACCAGTCTCTGGCGATGGCATTCGGAACCGTGAGTTAAACGCCGAATAGTTGCCGAGTTGGTCCTTCTTGCTGTCCGAAAGAAGGCACGTCGGTGAGTGGCATTCGGCCTCGTGGTTCCCGACGACCGTCATATACGCCACGTGACGCATTGCGTTGGTCATCGAGTTCATGAACTTGTTGTACATTTGCTCGTAATAAAACCCGAACACGTTTTTGGCGGTAAGAAATGCGTTATCTGCGTAGGCGACGTCGCCCACGTGGTAGATAAAGTCGACTTCGTCCACAATACTGTTCACGTACTTGTTGGAAGCCACAGAGTTGTCGTCTACCCCCAGATCACCATACACAGCGATCGTGAACGGACTCTTGTCGCCGCTAGCACGCGCCGTCGTAAACGAGCTCTCTCCACTTTGAAAGTGTTCATTGTCTGCATTGCCGACCTTGTAAAAATATTCTGTGTTGGCCTTCAACCCGCCCACAACTGCGTGGTAGCTGTACAATTCATATGTTTTGTCCTTGTAGTACGACTTGGTCTCGATCTCAGCATTTACCACTATCTTAAGCTTCGACTTGGTACGACTTAGCCATACGGTGGGGTCCTTGTCGAGCTCAAACGTTGTCCAAGAGACGGCCATACCCGTACCAGCTTCTTTTCCGGCGAAGGCCAAGTGGATCTGCTGCGGTACTCGAGTTGCGTTGCTTGATGCACTAACTCGACACGCTTGAGACGGTGTTACGTCGCCAAACTCGTACTGCAGCGAGCAAGAGTCTTCCGGCGTACAGGTCAATGAAGACCATACGTACACACATTTGTCGTCATCCACAGCGCTCCCAGACACAGTCGATTTGTACCCGTCACTAAGGAAATGCTTAACCTTGTCCATGAAGCCATAGGATGAGACTTCTGAGAATAAGACAGCGGAGGCAACCACGTGAACTATTAGTCGCATTGTTTAGGTCGAGTGGTATGGCGTTCCTGTGTTTCCACGGTCCGGAAACGGTAATACCGGTACACATGATTGTCGCAGTGCAAAGTCACCATCCTAATCTCCATCCCACGACACAACACATACATGTATCTTATTTTATTAAAATACCGGTATTGTGCGTGTACCAATGCAGTACAGTACTGCACCCCGTTTTCGCGGGGGTGGACCATACAGGATTTGCAAATAAATGCGACTCAGGATCATCACATCCGGAAGTTTATCAAAGGTCCAAGGGCGCGAAAACGGGGTGCAGTACTGTACAGCACTCGATGTATTTGTTTTGTACTGTAAGTTAGTACTTCTTGGAGCCTTTTAGATTCTTGCATAAATTATCCTGGTAGTGCTTCGGGTATTAGTATAATACTTGTTGTAGTATAATACATGTAGTAGTATTATAATAAGACGTTGGAAAAAGGCCTTCAATGTACATGTAGTTACTTCACATTTTTGCGTTTGACTTCAACTCGCTGACGCTTTCTTTTTGATGATAGAAAACTCGTCGTGCACCGTTCCAGTCGCGGCTTCGATCATGGTGATCGTCAGGTTTGTGGGACTCGCAGTGAGTTTGGTGATACCATAGTGCTCGTTGTCCATTAGTGCTAACCACTTCGGAGACGGAGGGTTTTTGAACGGGTACAGCCCTTCCGAGTTACCAGCAATTCCGGCAATGACATGCACAGGTGCCTTCGGGTTTGTGTACGTTTTGCCATCCTTCGACACGCCGTGCATGATGGCCTTGCTATCTGCCGTCGGGTAGTGGCGCTCGTACGCATGTACGTGACCCTGGTAGACCAGATCCACCTTGTACTTGATGAACAGTTTCTCAAACGCCTTCTGAACCTTCAAGGACTCGTACTCGTCATTTGGTACGCCGTTGGCATCGCAGGAGCGAAGAGTGTACAGAGGACGGTGCATACCAACAATAATCCAGGGCACGTTGGCTCGGTTGGCGTGGGCAGCCTTCAGATCAGCTTCGAGCCACTTTAACTGGTTACCGAAGTTACCGTACGTGCGTTTAGTGAAGTAGGCGTTTTTCGGTGCGTTCGGAAAGTCCGTCTCGGACGAGATGGTCGTGAAGTGCACCGAGGCGTAGTCGAATGAATACCACATGTTCAATACACCTCCGCTCTCGGGCGACGGCATGCGGAAGCGAGCGTTGTAGGCGGAGTAGTTGCCAAGCTGGTCCTTCTTACTATCAGATAGTAAGCACGTGGGCGAGTGACATTCGGACTCGTGGTTGCCTACCACGACCATGTAGGCCATGTGACGCATTACATTGGTCAGCGAGTTCATGAATTTGTTGATGATTTCCTCATAGAAGAAACCGAACGCGGTCTTGGCGGTCAAGAAGTCGTTGTCTGCATAAGAAATGTCGCCCAGGTGGTAGATGTATTCCACTTTATCCACCAGATCGTTCACGTACTTGTTGGACGCCACCGAGTTCGCCTCGGTCCCCATATCTCCATACACAGCCACGACGAACGGACTCTTGTCGCCAGCAGCGCGTGCTGTCTTGAATGAACTCACGGCGCTCTGGAACTTCTTCTCCGTTGCACTACCCACCCTGTAGAAGTATTCAGTGAAGGATTCAAGACCGCCGACAACAGCATGGTAGTTGTACAACGCGTACTTGTCGTCCTTGTAGTATGTCTTGACCTCGATCTTGGCGTCTTTCACGAGCGCAACTTTGGCCTCGCTCGTGCCGATCCACACTGAGGGAGACTCCTCCAGTCCGAACGAGGTCCAGGAGATGGCCATGCCCGTGCCTGCTTCCTTACCGGCGAACGCCAAGTGGAACTGCTGCGGCATCTTTGTGTGGTCACCGGTATCGGTCACACGGCAGGCCTGGGACGGTGTGACGTCACCGAACTGGTACTGAATCGAGCACTTGTCTTCGGGCTGGCAGCTCAGTGAAGACCACTCGTATACACACGTTCTGTCGTCGGTGTTCGTCTGGTTGGCTTGCTCAGTGGACCCCGTGGCGTCGTCGTCGCTGAAGAAATTCTTAATCATAGACCCAACGTCTATAGCCGTCGCGACGGAGCACATAGCGCTCGCAATCACTGCTAGCTTGAATGCTACAGGCGCGCGCATTTTTACCGGCGGAGAACGTCGACTTGGGCTATCAAAAGCGGGAATGGCAGTCCATCCTTCATTCCGATGAGGATTCCTTGGTGATTACCCTGAGGGGTCCCATCCAAGCAGAAATCTCGCAACCTTATGCTACATGTGTACACTGCCTTTTGCCTGATTAAAAAAAGGTTAGGCACTTTATTGCAGCATAGCATCGCCTTTTATACGTATACAGATAGTATAGTACGGTTAAATTGAGTAAAGGAAGGACACAAGCGCGCTGTACGCCCGCCCCTCTCTTCGTTAACTGCGCTGCGCTCGGACCCCACCCCGGCCTCTAGGTCCTCGACTTGGCAAGGCGCAGTGTCTGAAATTCATTCCGAGCGAGTGTTGCCAAGACCGTCCATGTTACCAGTATGCTTGCTGGGGAGTATAATTGTATAGTCGGTTAGCCAGTCGGGCAAAATACTCAAACTACAGGCAGACCAACAGGATGGTGAAGCATTGCGTTGGGTCTACCAATTCGGGAGATGTTCACAGTCGGGGTGAATGAGAACAAATTGTCAGGCTAGGTGGCACAGTACAAGAATACTTCTGTTACATATTACTGTCTTGACAGTGCTGGGGTTGATACAAGTACAGTGCTTATGCTATTTAACTAGTAATCTTAAAAAGACTTGTCTTACAAAGAGGCTGGAATCGAGTTCAGCACTCCATGAACCGACTCTTTGCTGTTCGTTGCTGGCTAATGACCAGCTGGTGGTCAATATGGATGAGGAACGATGAAGCTGTAATTACAGTATCGAGCTGATGTGCATCGCGGCGTTCGCAATCTCATGGCAACTTACTTTGCTTTCGGCAGTTTTAGCTTGGGAAATGCAGAAAGCAAGCTTTACTGCTGTAACCTCAAGCCGTCTTCACTCAAGCAAACGGAAAGGCTAACTAAATTGGTACTTACATTACGTAGCTACAGATGAACCCTTCGGTAGTAATCCCTTCAAATGGATTATCCTCTGACAAGAATAAAAAATCGGTTCCAGAAGTCTTGAACCATTTAAAAATTTACAAGCCTAAGATAAAAATACCTCTCACCCCTCCCCCAGAATATGGAATACAAAACGATCATCAAATTGATCTCAGACTTCTTTTGCCGGTACTGTATTATGATAAGTGTGAGGTTCGTCCGAAAGTATACGAGAATTCATTTGGCCCCTTGAAGAACGCGTTCTGTGCCAAATATTTTAAGCAAATTGATTGGCTAAGAGTTACAGCGCTCCTGCATATGTTTTACTCGTTCGTGTTCCCGGATGCAGTTTTTCAGAGCACCAGCCAGAGGTGTTCTAGCGAGAGAACAATTGTGCTAGGGAAATGAAAGGCAGTTTTTACCCTGCAAGACTGGTCGCGTGGATTCCAGTCCGGAAGGTCGAGAAGCTCGCGCCTGTGCATTGCGCTAGGCAGCGACAGGGGTCGCGCGGCACACGAGAGATAGCACTTAGGTTCAAGCAGTGGTTGGTGAGGTCCGCCTATGATGCTGTTCCTCCTACATCAGTAGATAGCACACACGGCTGCTCGACATTATAGTGTACTTCTGGCGGGATATTGATAAATGACGCAGTCAATAGCTGCCAAGAAGGCAGAATTTACTTGGACAACCACAGCACAGATTATCAAACTGCAAGCACAAAATAAGGCAAGCAGAAAGCCCTAACCCATTCTGAAGCACAGAACACAGTTCTCTAGGGCCTCAGGATCGTACGTGTAATCTTCCGAGCTCCATTTTGCTTTCACCATCGTTCGTTTGTGGCGTCTTGATTTGTTCTACGCAGCACTACCGCCGGTAGTCTACCGGTATGGCTGAGCTCTGAGCGCACATGTGAAGGGTATGTATCTAAAAGGGCCAACGCGCTTGTGGCTGAAGCGTACTGCGTTCATTCTGACGAGTTTCAGAGCGTAAAGCAGGCCTTCTTGTGCTTGTCCATCATGGCAAAACCTGTCGCTCTGTTAAAAAAAATAGCTGATGGACATTGTGGTTTACAGCTAAACCAATATGTGAACCTTTTACAGTATTCTATTAGAAAGTAGCGCCCTTGATGGTCACCTACTTTGTGCAGTTAATAACGTTACTTGCAGCGTAGGCTTAATAACTTGTACCATGTTTATTAAAATACCGTTACGAGATCTCGTACATGTACTTCCGACATCAGATTGTTGACACGTGATTGTTGTGTTGTGTGGTCTGTTCTTGATTTATTTGCTGGGCCTCTGGAGTTATCTTGTTTTTTGTAAAGAAAGTGAAAAATGTTTGTCTAAGAATATCACTCTAAAGCTTTTCTACAGCATGAATTAGGATATATCTCTGAAGTATATTTTGGGTGAATGTTGACCCGTTGCGTAGCATACACCGTTATGAGGAAGCAAGCAAATATCACTCTGCCATTAAAAGTTAACGGCGTGGTCGTGAGACCACGCCAACCAGTAAATGTACTATATAATCTGATTGACCACCGCGGTGACAATGTGTGACGATGGCCTGTCACACCATCTTTACTTCAGAGAGAAAGCACGCAGCATTCTGCGTTTTTGAGCGCCGCAGTAAACTCGGACGGCAAGAATGGGCAGGACGACGCATCGGCCACTTATGCGGAGTCGCTGGAAAGGTGGGAGCTGTACGACTGTAACGCATTTGTGAACGAGCGCAGTGATAGCGAAATGAAGACGCTCTTCGTAAGGCTCCGAGCGACGCGAGGCAAACCCGTCACGGTGACGGCCACCGTGATCCTCCAGCCCTTGGACAAGGCCTGGACGTCGTATGTGCACTGCCGGAACAATGAAGGCGGTGACGCGTTTGAGCGTGTGGTGGTCGCGCGCGAAGAGGCTCACCCCCGGCTGTCCG